TTGTCGTGGCTTAGCTTCCGAACTGCCTCATAGGCAGCTCCAGCCAGGCCAGCCTTAAGGTGGACGGGCGTAGCCAGCTGGGTCTGGTCGTTGCCGTCACGGCCGTGCCACAGATCCCATGCTCTCTCGCAGTACTCTTCGAAGGCATCTGGGTCCCCTGTGTACTGTGGAACCCCGTACCGGTCCACATCAAGTTTACTGGAAAAGCTCATCTCGAAGAATTCCAGTAGCCGAGCTCGCCGCCACCAAGGTCGGGGAGCTCAATAGAGAAAAGTCGGTCCGGCCGCACCGCAGCAGCACGGACCAGCGAAGTTCGCGTAGGGCTCGAGGTCCTGTCCCCTAAGGAACAGCAGCAGATGCCGGGATCAAAACCCAGCTCCGCTTACCATCAAAGTTGTGCTAGCAGCACAAGCAAAGCGGTAGCCTTTTCCTTGCTAAAAAGGGCGCCCTTCGTGGAGCCGTCGTGCCGCGCAAACATGCCGGTGCATCTGCTTCTCCTATACATGTGCAAATGCCCTTCTATACATCATGCCTGCACAGGTGTATTTTCTCATGGCATGTTCGTTGTATCGAAACCGTAGCTGCTGGGCACCTTCGTCTGGAAGCGAACGTCCTGCGACGTGCACGACAACAAGCAAAGAGGTTCTCCGCGACCCTGCGCGCTAATCCAAGGAGTTGCTCCAACTCAAGCGGCCCGAGCAGAATGTAAACATCTAGCATGCGCAGGCAAACCAGTCTTGCTGGTGGTGACGGTGGGACACAAGCTATGATTCGATCACGCGTGTCTCAATCCTTGCCCTCTTCGTCGCCGAAGAGCAACTGCACGACAGGAGGGGTGAGTCTGGTCCCTCACCCACTTGAGAGTCACGTGCTAGTCTACTGATGCCAACAGCTTGAGGAACTGGTCCCTATTGGTCGCCGGTCGAGACCAGACTGCTGGTCCCTGCAGAGTTTGAAGCTGGCAAACTAAGCATGTTCCCTGTACCACGCGTGGCAAGGGTTCGGCAATATACCCACAACCCACTCGGAAGTTCAAACACTGAAGAAAGCTTGGAACAGGAAGCCCTGCTGCAGTTTGGAAATGATGGATCTCACATCACCAACCAAGCCGAGGAAACTTTTCTACGCGGAACCCCAAGCCGCTAACGTCCGAAACCTTCCCTTCTAAAGCCTGAATCTCTGCATCCAATACCCGCAAGCACAGGCCCTGGCAGCTTTCGACCCGCATCTGTTACTGTCAACTGCTGAGGGTCGTAGAATGCCATCTGGAGCGGTCACGTTGATTCGGTTCGGGTGCGCTCACTATGTTCCAAAACCAAGGCTGTGACACGGTACGCCCAGATACTTCTAGCGCTCCTCGCCTCACCGAAGTTGAGATAGCTCGTTCGCACACAGGAGTACCTTGACCACGGCACTCGCGTCTGTGTCCACTCTCATGCTGCAAACCTCGATGCTGTCCTGTGATTTTTTTTACGACAAGCCGCACATCTATGCATACCAACTTTTGTTGGCTTCGCAGACACGACTCGTATGCACAACATCGCATATGCTGGCGAAATCAAATTTCTCGACTATCTTGAAGATGCCGTGGCTGGACAGCAATCTGCCGCGTAGCTTGGGATAGCCCTGGATATGTGGAGATGCTCAACTGCTCGCTGCCATGTGAATTCGAGCTCGTGCACCCGGAGCAGCCGGCCACTACGGGGATGCTCCGGCATCGATGACTAGCTACTGCTCAGTGGCTGTGGAACTTCGCGACAAGTCCTCTTTACAGCAGTTTGCAAGTTCGACGAGCTTTGGCAAAAGGCAAGGCGCACAACAGCGGCATCTACCGACCTCTCTGCAAGAACAGCGCTTGCTCGAGGATACTCCACGAATCCTGTCCTGCATCTACCACCAGCCCTTCTGCTTTCCCACTGACAACGTCCGCTGTGGGTGGAAGCCTAAGGAATATGATGTGTCGCAGAAGGTTCACCCATCTTCCCCAAGGAGGCACTCAAACCTCTGAGAATCTCACGCGCGTTCTGCTCTTGAAGGCTCAGCTGCTGCTGCCCAGCTGCACTCCGAAGACTCCGGCGCAGCACTGCCTCGCGCGGGTGTGGAGAGCTGCTGCTTACATCCGACCGTACAGGGCTTTGGTTGCGTCGGTGTGATGCAGACAGTTTCCATGCTGCCGGAGTCACTCCTATCCCGTGAAACGGCACCATTTAAAGTGTTGGATCATAGTGCCAAGTAAATTCTGTGTGTGTGAGCAGGCTAGACTGCTATGTTTTAATGTATCCCTTCTTGGACAATGTCCCGGACAACACGATTCGAGATTTGATGGCTTGGCAATGTGAAGCTGTGGCTGGTCGCACACAACCCAGATCCAGGTAACAGGCACCCGCCCTACCCCAGATCCACTCGCCGAGCGCCAATCTACTCGACGAAACGACTCGCTCTCTGCCGATACAGGCAAAACCTTAGCCTGGGCGTTGCTTTGTCCTTGACAGCTAAACTCCTTCGGATCGCTCCCTCGGTGGCTCCCACTTTCCAACCCAACCATCCAAGACGCAAGACATCCCAAGGCCGAGTTCGCTAACTGTGTACCCGTGCCAGAGGCACTTCACGGCGTTGCGATCATCGACTCGCTCAATGAGGGTTCCACGGGCTGAAACGTGCTCAAGCAACTTTGCTTCTCAGCAGTTCAAGCAGATATGCCAAGGTCGTGCAAGTCAGGCTTTTTCCGACGACGCTTTGCGGGCGATAAACAGTTTTGGGTCGGGAGTTTCGGATCTTGACATGCTGCAAACCCCGGATACCTTGGTGACTTGGCAGATTCACGGAATCCTGGTGGGTTCTGCTCATCTGCGAAACGCATGGTTCTTTGTCACAAATACTTGTTCGGAATTCCGTCTCACAAATTTGGGGCGCAGTATGCAAATTCGAGCATTTGGATACTTAAGTCTGGGGTATTGCAGCAAAGACTAACCGGCCTCGGAACGGGTGGTCTAGGCTTACGGTTGCGCATAGCTGTGAACACCTTGCACAACCCAAGTCCCAAGACCTAGAAACAACACAAGAGAGAGAGAGAGAGAGTGCGGCGAGGAGCTTTCGCAAGACAAAGACAGAAGTAGCAACGACTCACTGATTTTCTTTTTCGATCTGCTGAGCCATTACGAATTGAAAGCCCCGAAATGCTGGATTCTGATTCGCAGTTCCGGCCTCAGCCTCCGCCATTTCGTAATGCAGTTGCTGTCTGAAGCCTTGCCCTTGCCGCACCTTTCAGGGAGCACCGAAGGGTGCAGTCCACCAGCTGAGGCATGTCTGTGCCTTGCGGCCCAGCAGATTCCTGGCCTGCCAGGATAGGTGTGGCAAGGGGTTTCAAGAAGGCGCTTTGGAAAGTTCTCCTAAACTCCTAAACCCATCACATGTTCTGTCGTTGTGGGCCCGCAATATCTCCGCAACTTGTCAGTTAGGCAAAGAAGGCGGAATTTGTGAGGGATCATGAAACATGTGCAGAACTCGTCTGCTGCCGCTGATGCTGCTCTCAAAAGCATGAAACTACAACAGTGTTGATGGGGATCGCTCATGACGACGACTCGGACCGGAGGATCGGATGAGGATGCAGATGGTCATGCCGATGGTGCTGGTGATGGTCGCGATGACAATGGCGATGGTGATGATCATGATGATGATGGTGGTGACGATGATGATAATGATGATGATGATGATGATGATGATGATGATGATTATGATGATGATGGCTATGATGATTCAGGTGGTGGTGATGATGGTGATGATCGTGGTGGCGGATGAGTTTGAGGTGATGATGATGATGATGACGACGACGATGATGATGATGACGATGATGTTGATGATGATGGTGATGGTGATAATGATGATGATGATGATGAGGATGATGATGCTGATGATGATGCAAATGATGATGACGATGGCCATCCGAGGTCGCCACCATCTTCCTCATCTTATCCATACCAATCGTCATCGCCATGGCAATCACACCACTCAGGAGTACAGGCTGCCAAGCGCCAGCACAGCCTGCACAATCTTCTCCACTTCTTCCTTCGGCATTGGCCTGCCTGGAACAGCGAAACAAATCAATGGACATGGTAAAAGCGACGGAACCAATAAATAGTAGCCTTACCGAGCATCGCCCGGCGATAACACTACCGACTCTTGGATAGCACCAGCAGTGCTGATGCTTTCACAAGGTTTATGTGCACTACTACAGCACACTGCTTGCGGTTTCAATCATCCAGCACCAGCAGTAGCAGTAGCAGTGGCAGTAGTAGCCGTCGTCGTCGTCGCCCTCGAAGTCGTCGTAGTAGTTGTAGTAGTAGCCGTAGTAGTAGCCGTCGTAGTAGTAGTAGTAGTAGTAGTAGTAGTAATAGTAGGTAGTAGTAGTAGTAGTAGTAGTAGTAGTAGTAGCAGTAGTAGCAGCAGCCGTAACAGTAGTTTTCGTCGTG